TATATATAGTATATGATATATTTGATATTATACAATATTATTTCTATTGCAAGATTTGATATTAAATATTATATTTTTTTTTAATAAAATTAAAAAATTCTTGAGTTTTAATTAATTTTTAATAATTTTTAGTAATTTTTAATAATTTAATTAAAATAAAATTTTAAATTAAAATAAAAATTTTATTTTAATAGACTTTTATTTGTACAATAAAAAATTAAGATATATTTTATTTTGCAAAGCTTAAAAATAATTGGATTATAGATCATTATAATCCTATTATAATTATTAATATTAAAAAAATTGAATCGATAAAAATATATATACATATATAAATTAATATGTAATTCGATAATTATATTGTTTTTTTACTTTTTATATTATGATTTATATAATGATTAATATATATCTTTAATGATTAATGTTATCTTTTTGATATAATTATTTATTAAGTATTAAAATGTATTAAGTATTAAATATCAAAATGAAGATAAAATGATAATATCTATTTTATTTATTATCGAAGACGATCACCTGGTAATTGGCAACCACCATCACCGTGGCCATGACCGGATACCAATTTACGATCAGTTCAATAACCTGTGTCACTATTTTACGATTCCTATCTTGTAGTTCAACCATTTAAAATAAAATAGCAAGAACAAGATTATGTATTGCGCAATGTCGCCTATATTGCATGTTGTTCTTTGACATTCAAACAAAATACGAGTAAGTGAAAGTATTGAAAAATAAACACAAGAGGGCCAATACTATAACATAAAACAATTCGTATCGCAAGAAGACATTTCTCAGCAAATAAATACGGGGTGACTCGAAAAGTATAGACAACGCGTTTGTTTTTTTCAAACTTTAAAGTTGAAATTATAAAAATAAAAAAAAAATAAAATAAAATAAGATTACAACATCTGGTTGCCAAATGTATCTTTGTATGGATTAAAAGTTATTAACTGACATTGCTCGTGTTCCTTCGAGTGGGGAAAATAGGGTGCATATATATACATCGAAAAACGTGTAATAATTTAATTTTTTTTACACATAAACTTACCTAATCTATATTGAAGTCGTGTACTTGTTAATTTATTATCTGCTACGTTAAAAAAATAGTATATAGTCGCAAAAATTCTATTGAAATTTATTGGTAAGCAATTGAACTATTATCTTATCGATATAGAACTATAAATTTTATATGTTGTGTCTTTGCTCGTATGTTAAAAAATTTTAAGAAGAAAAACAACTAATTCAGTAATGAAAATGATTAATATAAACATGATATTTGCAATATTTTATTCGTATTTACAAAATCATGCAGAGGTTAGAATACTAGATGTTGACTCAACAATTTTCTTACACTTACTAGGGACTTTAGCAACATTGTGTTACAAGCAAGCAAGTTAAACAGGAATTGAACAGCTGATGCTTCGTCAAGACCGGCGAAATGTCAAAGTCTAGGCAAATTGTAAGTTATCTATTGTTAAATGGTTAACCTCGATTACTTAGTTTACATAGAAGATTTAAATAAAATTAAATAACATTTTGTCAAAAAAATAAGTTATTTTTTTCAGAAATTAAGAAATTTCTGTAATTCATGCAGTAACGTGTAACTTACTAAAAGTTCCCAGATATGAATTCAATTGGATTTTATTTCTTTGTTTTTCTTTTATAATTTTTTAAAATCTCTAATGCTAATATGTGTGCGTATATGTATTTATGCAAAGCAATATAGACATAACATTAAAACCTTTAAATTTAATAAATTTATTTATAATAAATAATTTCTTAATGTATTTGTTTTTTGAATTGAATTTTTTATATAATTTTTTTACACATTTTATAGAATTTTATTATATAGATCTATATTCAATAAAAAATTCATATATTTTAGTTTTTCTATAAAAAATTCATTATTAATGTATATTAAATTATATGAACTTTTATATACATATATATTAAATTTATTTAAATATAAAATATTTTTTTCACATTTATAAATAATATATATATTAATATACAAATATCACAATATACAAATATTTTGATGTGGCAATATGAATGTAAAAAATAATATTTTTGATATTAATTTTTGATATTCAATTATATTTTAATATTTAGACTTCTTTTGAAATTATGAATATTTGTTTTTTTATAGACTTTACGTGTGCAATGTTCAGAAGGGACAAAACGTATAGATGTAAATTTTTCTGAT